GGCATATTCATCTTTAAGGTAAATTAATTAATTACCTACTTAAATATTACTGTTAATAAATATATCTTAGTTATTTTGTTCATAATTTTATATATATTTCTAATTAATGAGCTACCACATTACATAATATTGAATATTTTAAATTAAGTAAAAGTTATATTAAGGATTTATTCATTTTAATTGATAATAGAAATTTAATTTAATTTCTGGAATATTTGTTAGTCCTAAAATGTTATAATTAATCATTATTTTTTTGAATCTTATAGTAAATTTGCTTTTTAGTATGCTGTGTTTATATATACAAAAAAGTTATTTTTAAATATATGGAGCACTTCAATGTTAATTAATTAACAATTTTTATTTTGGTTATAATGATCAAAACAGATAAAAAATCTTTCCTTTTTAAACTCAAATGATTCTTTATTAAGTAAATTTTTCCTTCACACAGTAATAAAATACATGGATAGAGTATTTTCATTTTATTAAAGGAAAGAACAAAGAAATAAGCCAAGAAACTAAACAGATAAATAAACTAAGAAAATAAAGAAATAAAAATCGTCTCTCTTCAGATACAACTTAATAAAAAACAAATCATCAATTTGAATATCCATTTCACAATTTAGATAAGTAATTTTCTCAATTTCTTAAAAATAAATGATGCTGATTTTTTTCTTAATTTAATAAAGTGATCTATTCTTGTAAGTTTAATGCCATTTTGAATTGATTTTCTTATTCATCAGATTTATAATATTTTGACATATTTTTGCAAATGTCTTTCTTCCACAACTTTAAAAATTATTGTAGGTAATGATGATTACCTTAATAATGTTTACAAAATATTGTTAGTAATTGATTTCAGAATTTCAAAATTTTATGATTTTCAATTTGAGGTAAATTCAGCACCTGGTATTCTCTCAGTTTATTTGCACATATTATCAATCAAGAAAATCAATATCAGTATTACTTATCCTTTAAAGATATTCATTGCAAATTGATGTGAAACCTTCATTTTAATTTTTCTTTCTCCTGGGTACTGCTAAAACCGCAATAAAAAAAATATATATATATACATATATATATATATATAATATAAGCCAGATTTCGGCTTCTAATTGCTACACTTTTTATATAAGAAGTTTATATTCATATATTCTTCATTTTAAAGCATTGTTTATTAATATAAAAAACTGATATGATTAAAGGTAAGCTCTCTCTTCAAAAAACTTAGACTAATAAAGAGACAGAGTTAAAAATAAAATAAGTTCATAAACATTGTGTACTGTGAAAAAACATTGGAAAATGTTATGTTGTATTGATGGTGTGATCAGATTTGGCTATTGGGTAGATTGATATTGTCAAGATATCCAAAATACATCAGATACAAGTTAAAATACAGAAGACTAATTCACAGTGTGTTAAAGTAATTCCTACAAATAATGACAGGGGCCTGAACTGGGAAATTTCTGGAAATTCTTTGGACTAAATTGATTAAGGAACTATTGAGAAGATTAAATTCAAAAAATGTGATTCAAAAAATACAAATATGAATATGAGAGTCATCAAGAACTACTACCAGATTTCTGACCAGGACAGAAGTATAAGGAAAAAAATGTACTTTTTTTGGAGGGGGGAAATCAATTCAGTTTATATAATTTAATTTATTTTGGCTACAGGATATACAAGTGAACATATCCTAGAAAAATTAAATAAAGCAATGTGTAGGATAGTATTTTGGTTTAGATTTATGAAAACAAACCTTAGATATTCTGATTTAGGCACATTTAAGTCTATGTCTTTTTTTAGCACATATCACTGAACCTATTCATTTTTTAGTTTCTTCATTTATATTGTAGCAACATCATGGAGGAAAAATTTTAGTTTTATTATTTTAATTTAAAGTGCTTGAAATAGTTCTTGGTATGTAAATGGTCATTGAATGTTAGCTAAGATAACCAATAAAAATGATGTCTCTATTTACATATCATCTGAGGTGAAATTTTGTTCTAACAAAGTTTATCTGGAGCCAGATGGTCTTGAAGGGTTGTGCAACAGCTTGTAAGGAGGAGATAGAAAAATTATCATAAATTTAGGTGGCTTGCAAGAAGACAAAGTTCTGGGCTCAACTGATGAGAGAGAGTAATTCAACAAGTGAATCGAATTCCAAAAATAAACCATCCAAAATCTATTTCTCCATACTTCTTAGTAAATTTTAATTATAAGTTAATCCAACTGTGTGACACTTATGAACCAGCAAATTTATGGAACTCAGATATTGCTATACTCTTTATTCTGTTCCATTGATCTTATCTTATGTCAATTCCAGACTATCTTGATTATTTTAGATTTAGAGATCCCCTACGTAGTTTTTCTAAAAATTCAAAAAAAGAACTTTGTATGTTCTTAATACAATTTAAGTTATATCTAAAATTATATACATATAATTTTATACATATATATTTATAGCAGTGAATATATATATTCACTGTTATAAATAACAAAATTTTTTGGCCTGCATAATTGTGTGGAACCATGCAGCCATAAAGAACATTTTATGATTTTCTATCTTATTGTTAAGTTAGAGTAAGATATTAATGTCATCACATGATAGGACAGTGTAACAAGGAGACAAGAAACAAGTTATAAATTACATTTGTCATTTAATCAGTGTTCTTCCACATGTATGTTTTAACACAAAATATATGGTTTTAGGAATGCAGATAAACAATGTGTCTGGACCACAAAAGTCAAAATCTAGTAGACAGAGGCACAAGGAAAAATGTAGCTAATTGAAATACTAGTAAATATTCTAAAGTAATAAAATTGGGTGGTACAAAAGGAAAAATGGAAGGGGAACATTTTATGCAAGTGATTAGAGAATTCTAGACAAGAACAAAGGTGCTGAGCTAGGAGAACATTGGATCAATATGAGAAACATAAACCTTATGGACTTGCAGAATACGATGAGATAGCAAATGTGAAAGGAAATGCATCTGGAAATGTAGTTTCAGGTCAAGTTAAAAAGGGTCTCTTAGGCTCCAGCAATTATTCTGGGTTTGTGTTTGTCTTTTAATTTATTAGGAAATCTTTGGAGGTTTATAAGAAAAAAAAGTATATATAATTAGAGTTCTTTTTAGCTAACAGAACACATAAAGTATTTGGCATAAAGAATAGCATTTTCGGGCTGGGGATGTGGCTCAAGCGGTAGCGCGCTCGCCTGGCATGTGTGCTGCCCGGGTTCGATCCTCAGCACCACATACCAACAAAGATGTTGTGTCCGCCGAAAACTAAAAAATAAATAAAATAAATATTAAAAAATTCTAAAAAAAAAAAAAGAATAGCATTTTCTTTGGTCCAGTAATCTGAAATTTGGTGAAATGAAGGTTTATTTTGCTATATACTATCATCTGGGTCAGACTAACTGGTAGCTAGAGGATCCAATATAGAAGTGGATCTCATATATTGGTGCTAGCAAGTGTTAGCATCCTACTGGAAACCCAACTGGTGCTGAGGGTCAGGGGTCTCTGTCACTCTCCATGTGAATATCTCCAGATGGACTTCCTCACTGGGCTGCCCCAGTTTCCTCACAACGTGACAACTCGGCATAAGGTGAACATTCCAAGAGACTGAAAGTGGAAAATACCAACTCTTTTTTAGACTTATTTCAGAAACGGACACATCGTTTCTGTGATATTATATCAGATGAGTGTATAGCATCCAGGTGTCATGGTAAGATATTGTCTGTCTAGGGAGGAAGAGTATCAAAGAATTTTGTTACCTCATTTTTTCCCCTTCTGACCAGTGATTATTACATTCCTCCCACATGTAATATAGAGTCACACTACCCAAGAAATTACATAATTTTTATTCCATCACAGCATTAGGAACAAGGTCAAGCACTAAGATTTCATCATCTAAATCATGTATAGACACTTTCCCTGGTTATATTTCTGCAACCGTAACTCTCCTTCCCATTTTAAAGCCCTAGCAAAGGAAGAGGTAAGCTATCTGCCTCCAATGAACCCAATATTACTTGGTTAGGTATGAAGTAATTCTTGAAGAGGGCAGGGTGGATAAGAGACACAGCACTGTCCATAAGTAGTCTTAAAACCAGCTGGAAAGATGTTGCTAGTTTATTTACTGGATCACAGTGCTATTTCCTAGGAATGAATCTTTAAGGCTTGTGACTTCTCCCCTTTTCTTTTTTGTTTGTTCCTTCGAAATATCCTTCACTTTCCATAAGATGTAGCTCATGTTTGTTACTAGGGAGCTTTTCCTCACCCTGTTTTGTGAGCATCTAAGTTCAAGAGATGAAGGTCTGTTTTCATTTTGTACTTTCTCTGTTACTTTCAATGTAATCCAACAGGGCTTCCACCAGAAAAGAAAATTATCATCATTTTGCAATTTTTATTGCTCTTTATTCCATCAGATAGAAGCCATACCACAAATCTCACTGAGATAAACTTTACTATCCCTTGAAATCATTGTGAAGTTGCTATAGAGCAAGGACAATTAATTGAGCTTGGGATTTATCATGCACTGACATTCAGATGCTTGAAGAAGAGGTGGGTTAGGGCTGGCATATCCTTGTTATTGCACTGTAAGGGTCTCCTCAGTGTGATCTCTCCACGTGGGTTAGTTTTGGCTTTGTTATATCATGGAAACTGGGTTCCAAGTTTGAGTAGCCCAATAGAACCATGGGTAATTTTACAACCTAGTCCTGGACTTTACAAGGAATCATTTTCCTCATAGATAAAAGGCTTCTAGGATTAATGGAAAGGCAACAGATGCGCCATCTGTTATGAGGATTATCAAGACCATATTGCCAGAGAGCATGCAGAATAAGACAGTGTTGTGGTCATTTTGGAAAAAAAAAATCTATCTGCTTCAGATTTAAACTAAATGATTAAAACAAAAGATAAAATACACAACAGGTTTTTAAAAAGGTAGAAGTTTTTCTTTAATTTGTTAATTTTTTATTTTATCTCATTTTAACAATTCAGATAGGTGGGCCTGACCTGACACCAAGATGAAGGCATTCTCAAAAGTTGGCTGTTATCTCTGGGATTCTCTAGAAGAAGCTATATTCCTGAAGGTAGGTAAAGGTCCAGAGCATGCATGTCACGTGCCTTCTAAGGGACACATTATACTTCATTCCTCCTTTAATCCTAAAACACTAGGTCAGGTACTACTGAGGTTCAGGAAAGGTGGGACACAGTCCTCAATTGGACAACCACGTGTCTTGTACAAGCCTAAGTGTTTATGTTATTATTGAAGATAAAAGTTGATATTGCTGGAAAGCTAGTAGTTTCTTCACAAGTAGCGTAATCCACTGCTTATTTCAAATTATAAACTTGATCCTACTGGAAGACTATGCTGGAAAGTGTTAGTAAGGGTAGAAACAGAGGCCATATTAGAAGCACATTGCATTCATGGAGGAACCAGTTCATGTAGGCTTGAAATGGGTGGTAACCATAGAACCTGGGTATAGATTTTTGGATTGACTATTAAGATCTACGTTGGTATTATTACTGAAACAATGTTTCTTGAGGGATGGGATTGAAATTGAGATTTTCATTTTCTTATGTATTAATATTCTGGTAATTCTTTGAGTGGAAATGGCAAGTTAAAATTTTGTTAAATTGATATAGGAGTCATAGGGAAAATCATGGACAAAATTTTAATGGGAGATCAGTAATATGCAGATATTTTCTATTAAAGTATTGAAAATTAAATGGATGGAATTGGGAAATATCATGTTAAGTGAAATAAGTCAGTCCCTCAAAACCAAAGGCTGAATATTCTCTCTGATAAATGTATGCTGACTTAAAATAAGTGGGGATTGGGGGTGGGGAGGAAGAAGAGAAGTCCATTGGATTAGACAAAGGGGAATGAAGGGAATGGAGGGAGGATGGGAACATGAAAGACAGTGGACTGAATTGGACATAACTTTCCTGTGTTCATATATGAATACATGACCAGGGTAACTCCTCCACATCTTGTACAACTATAAGAATAGAAGTTATACACCATGTATATAATATGTCAAATTGCACTCTATTGTTATGTATATCTAAAAAGAATAAATAAAAAATAAATTAAAAAAGAAATTTTAAAGACTATAAATTTTCCTTGGTCAGCTTTACATACCAGGAAATCACTTATGAAGAAATTGATGGAGAAAAATTAGGAGGGTAATGTGGCTGTTTGTGTAGACCATGGGAAGCCACCTGAGAGGATCAAAGAAGAAAGGAAGATTGAGGCTGCTAAACTCTGTTCCTAGGGATTTAGGTGTGTGCTCATTACAGCAAAGAATGCCAGGATATTATTTGTTCAAGATAGTGGAAAAGTCTTGATTAAATTTCTTCTCCCATTTGCATTTCTATGTCCTTGCTTGATGCTCATTTTAAATATCTCTTTCTCAAAGAGAATCATACATATTACCAAACATTAAAAAAGTTATTCTTTTCTCTTACAGAATCTATTTATTTTGTATAATACTTAGATAATTTATCTATCTATCTATTTATTTGAAGTACTGGTGATTGAACCCATGTTCTTTAATCATGAGCTACAACCACAGCCCTTTTTTTTTTTTAAAAAAAATATTTTTAAAAAAATTTGGAACAGGGTCTCACTAAATTGCTGAGGGTCTCACTAAATTGCTGAGGCTGGCCTTGAACTTGAATCCTCCTATCTCTCAGCTTTCTGAGTTACTGGGATTACAGATGTGCACCCCACTTACCCCATTTTTCAATTTGAATGTTTAACATTCAAAATGTCTGTTTTACCTAGCACATTACATCTCAGAGTATGGAATTTCTACTTTGAATACAATTGGGAATCCATTGACAATTGGGTTTGGACCACTGGGTACATTGTTTGGAGTTTCTTCTTTGTAAATTTCTTTCTACAGACTGCAGCTACATAATGAAAGGAAGGGACCCTGTCCCAAGAATATTGAGAACATGTGACTCAGTCGTTTGAGATGCTATGTGTTACTAAGACATTGATTTTGTCTTTTATCTTTGGAGAATTTTTCTTTAGACATAGCCATCTATGCTGTTTCTTCACCACTGAAGTCATAGAATATGAAGAAGCACGAATAGACCAAAGGACAGTGGAAAAGGGGCCAAGAAACAAATTAGTGTAGCTTTTAGTGTTCTTACGCTTGCCAGTGGTCTAGACAAAGGGAGGTCTGAAAGCTTTATATAGACTAACCTAACACATGAATCCCCTGGGATTTGGACCAAAGTCATAGCTATTAATAAAATCTGTGCATTACTTGCTTGTATTCTCCAGGTAATCTCCTTTTTGCCTGTATGGCTCTAGAAAATGGGTGTTAGAGGCATCTGATATTTTATGTATAAAATATACATTTAATATTTATAAACCAAACGTATTTGCAGTTGTAAAGATAACATACATATGTGAAAGTTACAACAAATCCTAGAACATCAGGATTATTCTCCACATCTTGATATTTTGAAAGAGTCTGAATTGATTGACATATGTAAACTAAGGAGACTAGCAAGTAGAAAAACAAGAATTGGGATTCCAGGTCATTTGTAATACAAAAATGTCTGATCTACACATTTTATTAATGTGCTTTTAATTTGAGGTCAGTGATTCTAATGATAGCATTTATAACAGCATCTCCTTTTTTATTCCAAGTTTTTTAGTTATACTGGTTTTGTCCTGAGAAATAAGAACTGTGGGAGGTACTTATTTGTAACAGATGGGATTTAGATATAAGAAGAAAAGAAAGATGGATGTTCAAGGTGCTAGGTATAAAAGGGCAAGTTAAGCCTTATGTTCCCCAAATGCCACTGAAGAAGAATATAGGTTGAAATTGAGTCAAAAGTGCAATGAGTCCAGTTATCTTTCAAGTTTGCATAATATTGTAGCAAAATTTAATCATTAATGTCAGGAAAACTCAAATATTTTCCTAGACTGACTTGACATGTCAATTACAGCCCTCCCTTTTCCCCCTTTCTGAGAAAATAATTGCTTATAGTAAATGTTCTTTTGAAGTTTTATTTTAGGATACCCCTTGATACATTTGTCACAAGTTACAAAGATACACATCCAGATTATTATGAAAACAAGAAGCCCAGATTCTTGTAGACTTAAACTTTTTTTTTAGCCATTTATTTCATTTTCAGACTTCTCAAGATTTATGAGCTTTTCTCTCTTGAAGTGAACTCTCTATACCTCTCTTCACAAATCAAGTCTGTGAAGAACAGAATTCTCTGCAACTTGCCTAAAGTGTAATAAAATCGACCAGAAGAAAGGCAAAAGTTCACTTCTGCAAGATATGAATAATGTTACAGAAGAGAATAACATTCATCGTAGCTCTCCTTCTTACACATGCCCCTAAAAGAATTTATGGCTCCCGTGAATGACTAGTCTAGTGGGATGCAGCTTCCTGGCCTAAGATGTAAAATATCCTAAAAACATTTATTACTGCTTGACTGAACCTGAGCCTTTTCAAACTATAGACCTGCAAATTAGAGATATCATGTTGGAAAATAATAAGAAGACAATTTAAAATAAAATTAAGCTATTGAATTATCACTTGTTCTTTTATCTGATCTACTTCATTTCCTCTGTGAATTCATGAGTAGATTTCAGCTAGACACACACTGACCCCAACAAAGGCATTAAACTGAGAATAGTATCATTTGGTTAGGCTGTTATAACAAAGCTTTTTAGACAAGTTGCATTGACCACATACGTTAGCAACTTGTTCATCTCTGTGTCTTTTCCATTTTTGTTACAGAGGTTCAAATGCATGAAACAAAGAAACAATGAGAGGTTAAGACCACTTGTATATATTTCTTCAAGCTATTTTTAAAACAAATGTTAAACTCTACACAAATGTATGTATTAACCAGTTATACAACTAACTTTCAGACTTGAAAGCACAGATAATTTGAATTTGATTTATGTCCATAAATTACATATTTTTCCACATTTCATTTCCATATGAATTGTTCAGTGTTAACTTCCTTACATTTTCTATTGAAATCTAGATTTGGGCAAATAGCTTCAATTTCTTTAAGAGATGTGTGCTTTGTTTTCAATTCACAGTACAGACAGGTCAATATTTTTTAACCCCAAGGTCAAACCAAAGATTAACAATATTAGTTATACAAAACAGTTATAAACTCATATGTATGTCCAAGTAGGGAGGCATTTAATACAGGAAAATATAACTATGTAAGAAGAAAAGTGAATGCCAATAAAACCATCAACTTTTATAACAATGAGATATCATTTTATATGTATCATATTAATGTTTATAGAATTATAAGTTGCATTTATGAGATATCATTTTATATGTATCATATTAATGTTTATAGAATTATAAGTTGCATATTCTAAGCATTCTTGACAATAATCATATTTATTGTAGTGGAAGGAACTAACACAGATATATTTGCATGATATCCTTTTTTTTTTTCTTTATGCATTTAAGCAAGCTACTTAAACTAGGTCTTGGTTTCTTAAGACAGTTAAATTGAAATAATGGTATCTACTTACTAGAACTATTTCATGGAGTAAGAACACCAGGAATATTCTTTGTGTAATGCCTACATGTTGGAAGTAGCCATTAAATAGTTTAATTATATCTTCTAGAATGAAATAGTGTAGTAAACCTAGTCATGAAGCTATAAAATGTTCATATCTTTGGTTCAATAATTCTGTTGGTAGAAATTTATCCTAAGGAAACAATCACACACACACACACAATTAATATCAAATTCTATTATAAAATTATACTAAACTTGTAAAAATATATACCAAAAGAAGAATTTTAAATACTTTATGGGTGGATAGGTTTTTATTGAAACTAGTTTTGGTATATTTTTAATGGTTAAAAAAGTTTGGTATAGATTTCAGGAAATTTACAACCCTTGGGAACCTGGGGGAACATGACAGTTTTGTTTTCTTGGCCAGTGGCACCACCCCTCACCTTTGGGCATAGCGGCAACTCTAGATGCCTAAGTACCTCATTTCTGTCTCCTTCATTCTCAGAAGCCTCCCAGTTGTTAAGGAAACTTACAATGTATCTTGTTTTTGTGATAGTTT